TAGATTGGGATGCTAATTGGTTATGATGCTTTATTTCAGTTAATATAATTGCTTTATTTAACTGAAATCTCTTGACAAATCTGAAAATGAGATGAAAGTTGCAGAGAAAAGCAAAAGCTTGATTCAATGATCATGGTGCTTATCCTATCTTGCAATGATTCGAGAATTTTCCCCAGTGAATTAGAGATGCTCTCAAGTTGCTGAACTTTATGCAAAGCATGTCATCGAGCTTATTGATGAATGCACAACACAGAGGACACTTGACTATTGCAAAGTAAGGACATCCACCACATGTTCAGGGAAGTTTCTTAACCTCTCTTCATTTTCCATCATCTTTTCTGTGAAAGTTTTCTCACTTGCATATGTTTCATGGTTGCGGATCTTTTAATCATTACTTTCACCCAGCCTTTTGGTTGCATTTTATATTGATACTCTACTGTTCCGATCATTCGACCATACTCATGCTTTACTGTTCCGGTCATTCGACCATACTCATGCTTTACTGTTCCGGTCATTCGACCATACTGATCCTTTACTGTTCCGGTCATTCGACCATACTCATGCTCTACTGTTCCGGTCATTCGACCATACTCATGCTCTACTGTTCCGGTCATTCGACCATATTGATACTCTACTGTTCCGGTCATTCGACCATACTGATACTCTACTGTTCCGGTCATTCGACCATACTCATGCTCTACTGTTCCGGTCATTCGACCATACTGATACTCTACTCCTTGCGGTCATTCGACCATACTCATACTCTATTGGTCCGGTCGTTCGACCGTAACTACTCAATCGGCTCGGTCGTTTGACCGTAGCTACCCCAACTCGCTCGATCGTTTGACTGTAGCTACCCAACTTGCTCAGTCGTTTGACTATTGCAACTCAAATTTTAAGATCAAGTCATTTAAGATCAAGTCATTTAAAATCAACTCATTTAAGATCAAGTCATTGAAAATCAAATCATTTAAGATCAACTCACTTAAGATCAACTTTTTTGGTCATTCGACCGTTGCGGTTTCATAACCGTTTTTACTTTACTTGTTCGGTCATTCGACCGTTGCGGTTTCATAACCGTTTTTACTTTACTTGTTCGGTCATTCGACCGTTGCGGTTTCATAACCGTTTTTACTTTACTTGTTTCGGTCATTCGACGTTGCAGTTTTTTAACCGTTTTTACTTTACTTGTTCGGTCAAACGACCGTTGCGGTTTCTCAACCGTTTTTACTTTACTTGTTCCGGTCATTCGACCGTTGCGGTTTCATAGCCGTTTTTACTTTACTTGTTCAGTCATTCGACCGTTGCGATTTCATAACCGTTTTTACTTTACTTGTTCGGTCATTTGACCGTTGCAGTTTCATAACTGTTTTTACTTTACCTGTTAAGTCATTCGACATGTTTTACTTTACTTGTTTAGTTTAGTTTTTTTTTTTTAAAAAAAAAAAAAAGAGAAAAAGAAAAAGAAAGACAATGAAAATTTTGAGTTATTCTTATCTTTTCTTTTCATTCTTGATAGAAAGAAAAGAAAAGGGGGACAACTGTCATAACTCAAATTTTAGTAAAATATTATATTATTTTTATTTTAACTAATATATTTTGTCTTTGTTTTACTTGTTAGGTTCATTCAAAAATGGGGGCAAAAAGAAAATTTTATGAAGAAGATTGGAAAAGAAGATGAGAAAAAGGACTCAATTGAAGAAACGGAAAGTTGGAGGGGTGAAATGCAAAGTCTAGCCCAAAACCCATCAAACCCAATTATCCAAAACCCAAAGCCTACCAACTACCCAAGCCCAAAATCCCAAAACCAAAGTCTTACCCAAAATCCAAAACCAACAATTACCCAAACCCAAGCCCAAATACCAAACCCATTTAACCCAAAAAAAAAAAAGGAAAAAAGAAAAAGAAAAAAAGATTAAATCTTTTTTTCTCCAGAACCTCCTCCTTCCATTTTCCTTTTACTTTTCTCTCTCCCGAATCAGCCTCCTCTGCTCTCTGCAGCCCAGATCCCCTTTGCTCTGCCCTGCACCGAGCTAGCCATCATCACCCCTCACTGCCGGCCATCATGCTCCTGCCTGTGCCCTTGCTGCTGCTCCCTGCTGCACCCCAGCCTGCACTCCACGCCCCTCCTCTGCGCGCCTGATCCTGCAATCACGCCCCTGTTGCTTGCACGCCAGCCACTGCTGCTGCACCGCGCCTGCACTCCTGCTCGCTAC